TCAGCAGCTATATATATAACCTTCTCACGGATGAATGCTCCATTCGCTACGCTACAGCATCCGTGTTAGAGCATTTCCTCGCAGACGGCGTCGTTTACCTCGAACTGCGGACCACACCTCGAGCAACGGCCCATCTTTCAGCCGAGGCCTATGTCAGGTTACTGCTTGACACAATCGCCGCCTTTGAGGTGGGACACGCGGAGAGTATGCACACACGTCTGGTACTTTCTATTGACCGACGGCAGACTCTGGAATCCGCCGAGGCTACCCTCGAGCTGGCGACGCGTCTACGTATCGAAGGTCACGGTGTGGTCGGTTTGGATCTCTGCGGCGACCCTTCGGCCCGCCCGGGAGGAGAAGTCGCCCTTTTCACGCCCGTATTTGAGAAGGCATCGAGCGAAGGACTCGGTGTAACGGTGCATTTTGCCGAGGCAAAGGCAAGTAGCTCGCGCGAAGAGCTGAAGACCTTACTTGGATGGAACCCAGGTAGATTGGGGCACGTCATCTGGAAGGATGACGAGTCGAAGATGGAGATTGCTCAGAGGGGTTTGTGTCTCGAGCTGTGTCTCAGCTGCAATGTCCAGGCAGGTATGGTAAGTGGCGGCTTCGAAGGGCATCACTTTAAGCACTGGATAGGAGTCCATGGGCCAAAGATATCGCTAGCCGTGAGTTACCACCAACTTCAGATTCTTTATTCCAGCCAGAGGGCAAATCGACAAAGTAGAGAAGACTAACGGAGCATATGCGCAGACCGATGATGTTGGCGTCTTTGGCAGCCCGCTTTCAGAAGAGTACCGCCTTGTTGCACGTTACTTCAACGTCAACCGAACGCAGCTTTGCAACCTCGCACGACAGGGAATTGATGCCATATTTGGTGGTGAGGAGGAGAAGCAACGATTGCGGGATATCATGTGGAGTTGAGCTGTGCGAACTTTATGGAGAAGCGCTCACTCCCCAGTCAGTGATTCCGTTACAGCGCCAGGAGTTAACTCGCGGCTGCTTCGAAGCATCAATGTTGTTATGAAGGCTATACAAGCATAGTAGCTGGTCCGAAATAGTTATTATAGAGCACGTGGTATGTAAAAGCAACGCAGTTACGCACGGGGCATTGCTGGCTATCCACATATGCGAAGGCCTACTGCTTTCAAGACAATGAACGGTGCATCTGCGGTGACCGAAAAACTGTGACCCAAGCTCTGTGGGATTGTTTCAATCGGAGAGACCTGCGGCGGGAATTATGGGGGAGAGTTTGTGTGTATGTATATATGCATGTATGTATTGTATGTATGATTCCATTTACCCTAACCCCTCGCCGAAGGAGGAGGTACTGTAAGTGTTGTTCAATTGCTCTGGTAATTGATGGTGCCTGCTTACTTTTGCTAAAGGTAGACGAATTATACCCAGATTTGATTTTACGTTGATTTTTTTCCATCATTATCTCTCGTTGCATTATTGCCAAGAAAGTCGTTTATGCACATGTTCATGCCAAGCAATATTATTTGAAAGTTTGTCCAAGCTTCAATACCAAAGAAAACGTTAAGCAACAACGCTTGAGGAACTACAAAAGAAAGGCCCATGACTAGCGATTCTAGTGCATGAGCATCGACGATCACGAGAGATAAGAGCAAGTCGACGATGCATCCTAGGTGGAGAAAGGAGTTTGGTCCAAAAGCCAGAGGACCAATTTCCTATTCGGGTATTGTGGCTCTGCAGCTGGCTTGGTTGTCACTAACCAATTTTTGGTAACTATTGCGAGCTCACACGATATACAGTCGACTCTCGTGAGCAACCCCCCCCCCTCCCCGGCCATCCATACCCCCAATGTGTGCAGCTTCTCATGTGTGGGGCATTGATTATATAATATTCACACTTCTAGTTAGTCCTAGCCCTGATTTCCTATTTAGGTTTGAATCCCATCTCCTCCAGTGTCTTCTGTTTCCTCCAATTTATCTGTAGCCTTGCGTGTAGCTTCATCAAAGCCTCAATATAAGACATATCCTCTTCTGATACCCCTTCCCTGTTTGAAGCCCATGTAGACAAATCATCTAGATGCCCCTTGACAAGCGTATTGGTCGGAATATCAAGTAGTGGTGGCCCATATATATCGTCCTCCTCTGCCAACGGATTGCTATCATCACCAACATTGACAATGTTATCAGATAAATCAAGTGGTCCAGTATCTATATTCTCGCCCGGCGGGTTGATGAATGCTTCATCCGGAAGGATTACTTGCGCATCTGCTTGATTCACCAGCTTTATAGAAACCTCATTATAAAGTGGCCTCAATTCAGAATCTTCCGTATATACCGGCGTGGCCGGTGGGGTTTCATCGTACCGGGTTTGTCCATCATGAAGCACCGTACTCTTGCGGAAGCAGTTCCGAATAGTATCATCTGATACACTAGCCTTCCACGCCCGTACAAAGCCAGCGAAGGGCATGGTTTAGATTCATCCGCGCACGTGGGTCAATGCCCCTATCCAGCATATTTATCATCCACACCATCCACTTCTTGCGGTAATGATGCTTCAGATTATTGATGATACCTTGATCCAAGGGCTGATAGATAGACGTGGCGTTTGCAGAGAAAATACCACCTCGATATTGGGCGAGGGTGGAGCTATTCGTACGGCTGCAACATGAACCGGGAAGTTGTCTAATAGCAACAATGTACGTCTTTGCCTACCAATTCGTAGGTAAAATGTACGAAGCCATTGTACCATGATATCAGATCTCATCCATGCTGTATCATTCTACTTCCAAGCACAGCCAATTGAGGCCATATTGACTCCACGCAATGCGCGCGGTGTCTGAGCACTGCCTATTACCCATAAGGGTAGACGGTCTGTGCCAGTCGCATTACATGCAGCCACCACGGTAATACGTGTTTTATCCTTATCCTTCTTCTGGCCAGCCTGACCTTTAGTTGTAAGGCCACCATTCGGCGTAAGGCGCTAGAAAAGCCCTGTTTCATCCATATTATAGATATTATCAGGCTCGTAATGGTCGCATATAGTCTGGATAGCTTTCATCTGTGAATGAATTGATTCAGGAACAGAAGCCGCTTCGCCATGGAAGGTATGCCATGATATTGAATACCGCTTCTTAAAGCCAGTAAGCCAGCCATCAGAAAAGATAGGCTGTGGAAGGTGCTTATACGCATCGATTTGCTTCCAAAGCTGTATAGCCTTCATCCGAATAAGAGGCCAGGTGATTGATTGGCCTTGTTCTACAAGACGGTTTTGTCATTCGAATAAGGCTTCATCTAATATTGGCCAACGGGCAGAAGATTGCTGAGTCACATTACTTGCAGTACCATGATCTAGATAGTCATATCGAGATGAAAGGACTCGCGAAACAGTAGTCCGATCTATAATACGGCCAAGTTTATCACGAAACCATTCAACACATGCACGATGGGTAGGTGGAGGGCTTTAGGATGGAAAGTCCCGTAAATATTTGCGCTGAGCCACCGATATGCCCTTATTCGGCCGCTTAGGTAGGGTTAGCTTCGTATCGAGGGCAATAATAGAAGGCCGAGTAGAAGGCGTATTGGAAGGGCCGGTGGAAGAGCTAGAATGCTGCATTCTGATTGATCGGTCGGTGACGACTCAGCGAGAATAGAAGGAAAAATTCTGCATCATCGCGAGGGGTGAAGCTTTGGAATTTTACAGTAGGTGCCTTTGTTGACAGTATTTTTTTACTGAGGTTTGATGAATTCGCACACATTTTCTCTGACAATCAACGTTCCTTCAACGACGATGTTTCCATAGGCTGGATATCACTATCCTAGTATGACTGTAAAAGGTATTTCTCGTTGAGTAACCAGAACTGAGTAAGCTGAACCTGCAGTGAATTGTCGCGCAACATGAGATTATTGAGGCAGAGGTTCCAACATGCCTCACTTTGGGCAGGCATCCTCACCAGTCAGTGCCTTTCAACAATTGCCACGAACAGACGTGGCCAAACTAGTACAAAACGAAGCAGGTGGGTGACAAGACAGGCCGAGATGTCTATAAATACCGCCTGCCACCCGAGTCCCCTGTCATACTAAATCACTGCCTAACTTTGTCACACCGAGGAAAAACCTCTCAATCCAACGAGCCATCAGATGATATCCTGCCAGCGGACCCATGATAAGTTCTTCCATCTTTGATTTTTCCGTGCTCTTCTCGGTACTGACGAGAATAGAACATACCATGAACATCCAAGTCAGCCAGTTCCTATTAGGCGATTGACGCGTTGCTTTTCTGTCACCCCGTGCCAGCTAATCAAGAAGGCAAATCTCTTGCCTGGCCTAAGTGACTTCAGCATGTCTTCTGTGCGAAAACGCGCCTCTACTCAATTGCCCAACTGAGCTGATTCAATGTCAACCCCCACTAGATTGACTCTCTTGATTTTTGGAGTGCAAGAGACTGTTTGTGTGGCAGGTATGTCTGTTCTTCGCCTGACCCGGCCTGATACTATGCTGATGACAGATGCCGCGATCAGCCCGGTCTGTATACATTAAACCGCTGCAGATGAGCGCAACGAGCAATTCACAATCGCCTACCAGGCCAACATCAATTGCTAGCCGAGATCGTTTATTAGCCACCATATCATGTGAGCCGGCTACCCGTTCTCGGATCTAGTAGCTAATATCTGGCAAAACGTGCCTCAGAGCGAAACCCTGAGCGGCCGATTATGATGAATGCCCCCGATACGAGTTACAAAAACCATTTCCTGGATACCTCCATTTTCAAATCTACGCACACGTCGCCGATGTCTCTCATGAGTCGGAAACTCTGGCAGCGTGCCAACAACAAGACTACAGGTGAACTCCACCACAGCTTGTCAACTGAATCTCCATGCCACCGCTGCAGCTATCACGTATGAGGGTCATTCGTGGGCAATCAGGTACGTCCTCCAAGTGCCATTAGTCCAGGACCTTTGCCTCCGATCGTCGGCCACGATATTGTCGTGCAGGGTGGACAAATCTAGAACGGCCTTGCATACTGTCGCAATGAAGAGCATTCGTTGGTCGATGGTAATCGAGGTTCGCTGGCCGATTCAAGCCAAGGGCGATATCTATGTGTTGTCTCAGCAGTCTGCTGGCCACCGTGAGGTGCGTGGGCAAGGTGTCAACATAAGCGAAGATGAAGAATCGTGAGTATAGCCTCATATCCCCCGAAGCATACTGACGTATTTTGAGGAGCCGCTTGTCAAGTGATGTAAGATCGGCAAAGTCTGCTGGACATCGTGCACACCCTCGGACATGTACAGCACGCGTCTTGCACACCCTCGCCGCCTTTGCCGCGCGACGCGATCGATCTCTTGCCTGGGCCAGCCGCATTGGAGGTCGAAGATCCTGCCAACCAGGGTTGAGTGAGCACGCCAAGCTCGATATCCGGCATCCCTCATTCGCTTTTCAGCTGATACACAGCATCCTTGTGGGTTGTGTTCCGTTGGAGACGAGTTCTCTCTCTCAGGATGACTTGCCGCCAATCCCGACCTGGACGTCCTCGGAGACATCACTTGATGTTTCAATCGATTGGCCATGGTGAGCAGGCAGTTAGCATCGACACCATGTGACATCTTGCCTTACGACAAGCGGCTCACCCCGAGCGAGCGTCCAGCATCCTCCCCGCGAAACGAACCTTGTCTGCTGAGCGACTTATACCTAGCGAACTCAACTGGGCAGTCCTCTCTCTGCGCGAGTCTTTCTTCGCTTTCCCTCCACGTTGTTTTCACCCATTGCCCGTCAGCTATACGTACCCTTCAATGGCAATGGATATCCACGGCATCGGATCCTCGTCCCTGCGTTTTGTCAAAAAATCAGCGATCGAAGCAAGCCAAACTCCGAGTCTCGCTGAATTCTCGGTGCAGATGCGAAATCTATTCACCGACTTCGATGACTATACCAAGTCCAATACGTCAGATGATTTGCTCGCCTAACCCAAGCGACCGCTGTCGCTACAAGGGATACAAGCGCGACGGGCCCAACAGGCTCGAGGGTAAGTACAAAGACAGGCAAGAGACCAGACGGGTGATTGGGCGGTGCAATCAGCGTGTTTGACATCTGCATATATGGCCGATTTTCAGGAAGTGTGGCGCCCGACGGACCACGGTCGACCGCTCGAGGTGTCGTGGTGCTTCCGATGTTTCAAGGAAAGGAAGACATATGCGTGCCCTGATCAGATTTGCCATTCCTCCGAATCATTTGGATACGATGGGGAAGATGCGAAAGGATCTTATCCCTCCGAATTATAACAGCAAGTCCCCTTACTGAGTGATCTTAAACATGGTGGCTGCCGTCCGGAATATCTAGACCAGACACAACACTTTTAGATGGAAAAGTCCACAAAGCACGAGCGATGCATTTCGTAGGGATAACTAACCTGTCCGCTCTTTCTTTAATCGTTGCAGCCAGGAAATCTCCCACGCAAAAAGTCTCTTACTCGTGCTGCAAACGTTTGACAAATTCAGGTCAAAGATTTCTTTCGGGTCTCGGGGATTATACTTATGTCCGCTATTTTCCGGAGCCTATTCCTGGATCATTACAAGGATCAAACTGATCGCTGCTAAGGGGATGGAGTATTCCGTCTGCGCTTTGAGTTTCGTACAAACCAAACAGTCTGGCTGAAAGGATGCGCTAATCATGCGAGTTGTGAAGGGTTGAGCGCAAGTGCGTGCATGCACGATTCGCAGCCAACTAGTGCTAGTAACGAGGAGCTGGTATTGATCCAAGGGTGAATTCTGTTCTGTTTGTGTCCATTATTCTTGCTAGGTTCAATCTAAGGCATGAGTTATCAAGTGATATACTTGCTTCTAGAATGACAGATATTCAGCAATTCCTGAGGCATTGTCGCTTCTATACTTTAAATCGATTTGATCATGACCCAATCTTCCAGCCTAGAATTTCCCAACGTGAATGCCATCTCCCCAGCCTTTAAGTATCCAGTGCTCTCATATAGGCGTTCAGCTTTGAGATTTGGCTTCCATGATGCGAGCCAAATATTCTTGCCTCCCATACCCCTCGCTTCCTTCTCTGCTCGCACCAACAGACGCTTTCCGATCCCTAGCCCTTGGCAACTTTCACTGACATACAACCGCTGCAACTGAATCTTGTTTTCCATCTTGTCGATGCATCTCTCGGACGTACCGCGTCTGAGCTGGAGGAACCCGACAAGAGATTCGTCCTTCATAGCTACCACAAAAGTAACAGAAGGGTCTCTTAAGTCGGTAGCAATACTTTTTGGCGAATATGCTTCGGAGAGATAGGTTGTCAGGTCATTGAGAGGCAGCAGTGGTGCGAAGGCCGATGTAAAAACACGCGCCCCTAAGTTGGCAATGGCCTTATTGTCCCCCATATGGGCATAACGGTAAGAAACCTGGCTTTCCGGCATTTTGAATGGTTTGTGGTTTAGTCACATCCGGGAAATGACCGCAAAAAACTTTTTTTGGTTTGAGACCAGTGAGCCTTTTATAAACACACTTCAAGACCCCACGTTTGATGACTCATATTCTCAGCCAATCAGGACTTCGCGCAGTGATGGAGCAGGCGCTCTGCGGAAGCTGAATTTCCATTCACACACGAGGCTTTCTGGGTCTTTTCGGTAACCTCTCAGGGCTTGGATTGCGCGAGATATGAGCGGCAGTCTGTATCACATTAACTACATCTCTTGATCTTAAGTCCTCGAACCATAGGAAAAGAGCTTACAATATGCACCAATCGCCGGATACATCGGCAGCCCGTATTCTACGCCATTCATCTGCAGTCCCTGTTCGTTTATCGTGCGCGAAGATAGGCCTGATTCCGCAAGCCGACAGTGGAAACATACTGTTCCACTAGTTTAGTTATCTGCTTGGGGGAGCAATGCCTACAACGAGGATCCGCTGAGCTATATCCACTACCTGATAGAATAGCGAATCAACAGCGAGGCTGCGGTGAAGTATCACACCGCCAGACCGCCCGCACGCAGCCTCTCCAGGCTCATGTCTTCAAGGCCTCCCTTAATGAGAACCGGGCGAACTACCTAAGATCGATTCGTCGTCTTTGGGCTTGGAGCAGAGCACTCCAAATAGGGTGCTTCTGTGCTAGCGTATGGAGTTTAACTTAACTATGGTTTTTCTGCGCGCGTTAACGGAGACGAAGATGGGTTGGGCCCCTAGAGCTCCGAAAGGAATATGAATAATATGAATTGCATAATATGAATATGAATAAGTCTCTTTGTTGAGATAAAATGATTGTATTGGGTTAAGTTCACACATTTTTCGGAGGTGGGACTCATCTATTTACATATCTCCTGGTAGTCTCCGCCATATGATTTGACCACCGTGATACTCAACAAATGGATTTATTCATATTCGCATTCATTTATTCCTTTTGAAGCCCTAGGCTTCTACTGATTATCTACCCGATCCGCCGGACTCGACTGCTATAGAAAACATCTAGAATCGGATGAAATATATGATTTCTAAGTTCCATGGCACCTATGATATGCGTAAGGTGAAGGTCCGAGAGATGGTTCTAGAGGCCTAAGAAGCTGTGCCATATTGGATGCTAGACATAGCCGAATCGATGCCTCAGCGCGGTCAGAAGGTCATTGACAATGACGGTGGCAGAATAGGTGGCAGTGGCAGAATTTTATAGAATATTATGTTGGTTCTGGCAAAATTGAAGTAGAGCCTTGTAGCGGGTTGTGATACCCCTCTACGCTGCGTAAACACGGCCATCTCGTCTAACATGGCTTGGTCCGGAATATTCGGCAGTCCCAAGTCCGTAATTTCCAGAGCTTTGTCGAGTGATTGTGACTCCGTCTCCGAGTATCCTTTTTCAACTGCAAACTAATGACTGCTTCCCTGTGCTGAAAAAGCAGTCGCTAAGTTTTGTAAAACTCTAGCGACCGAAGATGTTGCTCTTTGCCGCGGGGTAAATGACCAGATTCACAACGTAGATGTCAAGCCCACCTTGAGCGGCTGCATAACCATTGGGGTAATAAGGCCCCTAATAATGCCCCCGGGGGGGGGATGGGTTAAAAGACAGATAACGTAATCCACCACACCTCGGTATCAGATGCTCTGATCAACATAACTGAAAAGGAAGTTTAGAGAAGTGATCCGCGTACCCACACCTCGGTTCCCAACCAGCTTTTTTTTTGTTGGCTAGATGACCCACCCTTCCCATGTGTTCCAAAACTTGAATATGATATAAGACTCACCGGGTGGTGTGCGAGTGGTGGAAGATGTGCTTGACATCCATTTGCCCATAACTCTTCTATATTGCAACTTATGATGGCTTCCCCAATGCGTAACCCAAAGGACTCGATGACGTCCACCTGGCGTTCGTGGGATCGCTCGCAGTGGAATGCTGCCCACTGGCTTCTCGAGGTCCTGAACGTGCACCATCTCGATCTTGATCAAGAAGTCCCGGTTCATCGGAAGACGGAAAAGGTTCCTTATGCGACAGAGCTGCAGTTCCATCGTTGGGTTCTTATCCACGCTGGTCTTCCACTCGTCCTTCACCAACTTTACATCAGCTACTTCGGTCACCCTTCGGCGTTGGCGGTATTTGTTCTCTACAGTCTGGCCCTGGAATTCATTGCCGTGCATGAAACCCATGTTCTCCGCCGCGTCGGCCACAAGATCGGATTCTTCGACGGGGACAAGCATGCTCGCGACGGTGTACCTGACGTGGGTGTCGGGAAGACTGCGCAGACACTCATATCCGTGATCGCGCTCCGTCCAATGTTCACCGTCATCCTCGCTTATCGCGCCAATGAAGGCCCGTCATCGATCCGATGGGGATGGCTCATCTTCGAGACCGGCATATATGCTCTCGTGCTCGACTTCTGGTACTATATCTTCCACCGCTCCGCGCACGAGACGGAACACCTCTGGAAATTCCACCGCACCCACCACCTGACCAAGCACCCTAACCCTCTCTTAACCGCGTATGCGGACACGGTGCAAGAGTTCATCGACGTTGTCGGCACACCTCTCATCACGTACGCCACAATGAAGCTGATGGGATTTCCCATGGGCTTTTACGAGTGGTGGATATGCCAGCAATACGTGATGTTCACGGAGATTCTGGGCCATAGCGGCTTGCGCATGATCGCCACGGCGGTGAATCCCTGGACGTGGCTGCTAAGGTTGTACGACATGGAGCTCGTTATTGAGGACCATGATCTTCATCATCGCAAGGGCTGGAAGAACAGCCATAATTACGGCAAACAAACCCGGGTATGGGATCGGCTGTTCAACACGTCTATTCCTCGGGTGGAGGGGCACCGGTACAATATCGACTATGTCAACACGGCGGAAATCCCCCTGTTGTAACAGCCACCAGTACTGCTTTTAAGTGCGCATGCAACCTGTTGCTCGACTGGTTTCTGGATCAAGATATTCGAGACCGTCCTTGTTCTACCATCGGGGAGAACCTTGGAAGCCGAGGGTGGGATAGTTATGAACGTAAACGGAATAATTAAACGATAAAAGGTATCAATTGAACATCTGGATTTTCGAATTTCCACGGGTTCTTATGTTCTATTTGTAAAATCTACCAAGGTCCAATGGGGAGACTTTGGAATTACTTGCAAGTCAATGATCGAAGTGAACTTCTAACGCAGATCGCAAATTGTCCATAACCCCGTGATTGGTGAAGGAATAGACGGTCTTTGTCTGTGTAATATGCCAAAGTATGCTACTTGATTCGGACGAGAAGGAAGGACGTGATTCCAAATCCCGAAAACAGCTTGTGAACTTTGCCTTTTTGAAACCCAGGTGAAATGGCAACCTACAAGTCAAGATGCCAGTCAGATTCCGGCCGACATAATACCAAGAGGAGACCAATGAAATAAAGGATCAGAAGCGGAAAGAAATAACATTAGATGTGACTGCGAGCAAGGGCAGATGTGAGACGATTCCATGAGCTCTAACAGAGCCAGACAAAG